CTTGATTCTTGTGGTCATCTTTCTTAAATGCATTCCGCTGACCACCGCGCCTACTTAAGGAACGACTGGATCCTTGACTGGGTCTGACTGAATGATTCTTGGATGACTGGCTCATAACTGAGTAGCTATTTGATTGAATAATTTACAATGAGCTTCTAGGCGTAGTGTGCTTCCCTTAAATATCCGCGAGTTAGCTTACTTAGCTGGCAACAGAGCATCGTTGTTGCTGCACTGGAATCTTACATGAGGCGTAGAAAGAAAACGCAAGAAATTTCGACAACTTCAAGAAAAACGAGGCTTATGAAATTTGGAGAATTCCAAACGATGTTATTATGCACTTGAAACTAAAACATAACAAATATACAAAAATTCTCATACCCAAATGTTTATAGAAACTTGAGAGCTAGAGGGACTAGCGATTCCGAGAGCCAACGGTCTTGGACAGTGCTTCAACCCGAACACTCGAGAGGTTCATGATATCTCAAACATTCGTCGGTAATAAGTACCAACATTCCAATCTTAATGTTATTCCTTGGATGATGTATTATAAATAGAGAGATAACTATTGTGACCAGAATTGTTATAGACGTATAAATTGCCAGCGAGACAATTGTGAAATTAACAATTCGTTGAAAGATGGTTCTGAAATAATTGTTAGCGAGCTCCCTATGAGAAAATATTCTGGGGTGAGTGCCAGAACATCTTCAGAGTCGTCACTCATCGGCTCTAAAGGTCTGTAGTTGAGGATTGCCTTGATTTAAGCAAGCAAGGTGGTAGGCTCTTCTAGACTGAGCAAGGTCTCTCCGATAGTGCGTCTCAGATGGTGTTTTACAGATTCCACCACAGCTTCCCACTTGCCTCCCATGTGGGGCGATGCGGGTGGATTGAATTCTCATTGAGTATTATCTTGTGACAGTATACTCCCTATCTGTTGATGTTCGAGGGTGCCTTGAATGAATAACTTTTTGAGAGCTGCATCAGCCCCGATTAGGTTCTACCACAATCTGAGTACAACGTATTAGCAATCCCTCGACGAGCAGTGAATTGTCTGTATGCGGATATGAAATCATTGATCGTCTAGTCAGTGACTATCCGTATATGTAGCAAAATACACAAGAACAAAAATCTATGCCCTGTGAGTTTTGCACCTTGCCCTTTCCAAACTTTTTATCGATCATGACAGGTGAGACAAACCGATGTGTTTCTTGTCGCGAATATGAATATGTTTTGTTGCGGAGACAATGTTAATCCAAGAATTTTATTAGAGCCATTCTCGAACTTAATCAAACGGTCAGATTATGATCCGTGTTGACTGCGGTGATAACATCTTGATGAGTTGCACACCATTTTGCCAAAGAAAAATCGCGCGCCATGCAGATATCTCATAATTGAATGTCGACTTCGATTATTTGTTCTGGGGTGTCTGCACTTCCAAAGATGTCGACATATCTACCATGAGTGATAGACGGTACGGCAAGAGGGGACCTACTTCCCTCGACCTCTACTAGTTGAAGCAATGTTCTAATTACCAGAAACGGAGCAGCCTTTGTTCAGTCGGTGACTGTTGTTACATGATATGGCAGTTCTGCCTGCTGTTCGTCGATCCATAGGATTCTCTGAAGGTCCCAGTCATCCATATGAATTTGGTGATATACTAGAGCCATTAAATACTACTAACTGGGTTGTAATACTGTGATGGAATGAACTGGTGTATCGATGATAGCATCATCATCTCATCTGGATGATGGGTTTGAACTACTGGCTTGCGTTGCTTCTGCCTTGAATGGCTCCTGTAGCATGGTATGGTGCAGTCTCGAGTACCTCTTGCACGATCCCATGTGGTTTCTTATGTAGTTGAACCACGGTCTGTGATCCTTGAAGTATCTCTATACTGGATCTTTGGTAACTCTACCCAGAGGAAATTGATTACAGCACCTTGAGTTGTTATGCGATGATACACGGAGACTTGGCTGCGGACTCTTCCTTGAGGACTCCAGCTTGATTGCTTGAATCTTGTTGTCGTTCCTCTTAAATACATTCTACTGAACATTGCGTCCACTTCGAAACCCCTACTCTTTTTGTGTATTCAATAGGAGCGGTAACGGCTTCAGCATCTCGATACGGAGACGCGGTAGCGCCTTTAATCAGGAAGCTCAGTCTTTTCTTGGCCTTCCTGACTAAAGCGTCCTCGCAGCGACTTTGAAGCGCCTCTATCGGCAGCATGGCTAGACTTGAAGTGGATGCGAGTATGCACCGTTGTTTTTAAATTTTGGGTTAACGACTATTGCCAGATGACTAATGAGTTGGGTTTCCCAGATGTTTAACGACTTGGAAAAGGTTCTCGCAATTTTGAACAACAGTAGTTTTCTAAAAAAAATTTATACAAATTCTATTCATACTTTGGTAATAAGTAATTAAAGTTAAAAATTTAAAAAAACTAAATCGGAAAATTACATCAATTATTTAACTTTGCATTACATTAAATTTGATAATAATAATAAATTTCAAGATTCATTTTCGTACTATATCAAATATTTTTCAAGTGCTAGTAAATTCTCATCTCAGAAATCAGCATCATAAAAATTTTGATAAACCGATAATTTCTATATATATATATATATTAAATATGTTTTTATCTAAGAACTTGAAAAGCAAGTATTAAAAATGTTCAAGCTTATTTTCCATTTAATACAATAGTATAAATTACTTTTGGGTGATGAAATTTAAATTAATTAATAACTTTGGCATAAAATTCAAATTCCATATTTTATTCATTTTTATTTTATTATATTTTATTTTATTTTATTTATTTCATTTTTATTATAAATATATTAAAATACATAACGTTTTCTTTTTAAACATTTGTTGTAACTTAATGCACCTTTCCTGCTTTCAGAAAAAGAATATTGCTGTCGTCTGTTGTCAAGTAATAAAAATAGTGAAAAATATTATACAATAAATTATACATGACTATACAAATACAAGTATTGTAAATCCATAATAAAAAGAAATAAAAATGATTATATAATCTGTCAATTTTTTATGATATAAAACTCGTTTCAATTAATTATGAAAAATTAATATGTAAATTTAAAATAATGAATTACACTATTGTTTCGGATTACAGCAGTTTTAAACGGAATGCAAAGTGGGAGAGGTGTGAGCGCGCGAAACATTGTTTTGTAAACATTGTCCAGCGGACTCACAAAATGCTTCTAGCCGAAAAACTCGGATATACGACTATAATTCCAAGAAGTAATAACAAATGAACCCGACAAAGCTATGCCCTATTGACGTCACGAACAATAGTGGTATAGTAACAGCCACCGATGCGATGTCGGCGCATCGAGTTCGTCCGAGAATATTTAATGAGCCGCACGCGCCGCGATTCCTTCTTCTAGTAACAAGCGCCCATCACGACAGGACCGACTCTACAGTGGTTCCCGCGAACACACGTGAGCAACGCCGACGCTCGTTCTTACGACCACGACTACAGCGGTTCTCGCCAACACACGTAAGCAATGCCGACGCTCATTCTTACATCATACCTCTACACCGCGGTTTACGCCCCATCGAGCACACGAACGTGCACCTGTACTACCACTACATTTGAGCTCACGTACACAAGCAGTGACGTCACGCGGACGTGTTCCCACCACTCCGTACACTGCAGCTCACCCCACGCCGGCTGCTAAGACGGCACCAATTTGCTGCCCCTACAACCACGAGTCTCCCACTACAACTACTCAATCCAGAAGAAGAAGGGGAATCACGCTCCAGGCCATCAAGTATACACGTACAGACTTATAGCCACCAACATTAATGAAGAAACACTCATCTATTCATTCTATCACACATTCATTATGCCATCCATAGATTATTAACTATTCATTATTTATTATATTTAATAAAAGGAAAGACTATAAACATTAAGGACAATATTGAATAATTGCATTGCCCCTTTCACTTGCCAGCAAATCTCCACCCACCATCATAAGGAGGTTTTTAGTCTGATACCAGACAACTATCATGAAAGTATTTTCGTTTCCCATGATTTTAAAATTTGATCTTATAAAGTATGCTTTTACATTTTATTTGAATTCTTGTCGAGTTCAAACCACTAATATTTTAATTGTTATATGCAAGATGTGTAAATTAATTATAAATGTGTTCTCATCACAGTTTACAATGTTTACATACAAAACTAAAAAAAATCAATTGAACTACATTTCATATATTACTCAGTATAAAATTTCTTAATTATTCTATACAAAAAACATTGAAACAAACCTCTAACTTAAAGAAAAAGTATTTGAATTGTATTATAGATAATGAAAATAGATTTATTAGAATTTAACAGATCTCTTTTACATAAAATAATTTTTAAATATTTACTAGATTTTGTAGTAACAAAATAGTATAATAAATCCAATAAAAAGAATTACTGTAAAGTTTATTGTTTCCGTAATTATCAATTTAATTGAAACAGAAAATTACAATTTACTTTATTCAATTATTTTATTTTATAAATCTATTTTTTGGTTCTGATTGGATTTAAACTTTTTATTAAATCTTTCTTAATTTATATTATACGGTCATAGTTCATTTCTGTTAATCGCAAAAGATTTAGACATAATGTATATTTATATAAATTTTATAAAAATCTAATTTATTATTGTTATACTTATTTTATTTTATTTTTCAAAAAATAAACTTGATAAGCAATATTTTTCATGCTAATAGAGATTTAGTTCATTGTACTTTAATATTTTAAATGAATATTATTAATTTAATTAAAAGAATTCAATTAATTCTATATATTAACAGTAGATGTTCAAGTATCTATTAATATCGACATTTATAAGTATTAAATGTTTCCAATAGTCTCAGTTATTTTGTAGATAACTTATGTGTTTAACAAAAATAATACATAACTATTTTAAATTAATTGTTTATTTATTATTTATAATTATAACATATTTTATTATTTACTCTTAAGTTCATTTCATAGCAGAAAATCTTATAAAATCAACTTTAATATTTACAAACTTTTTTTTATGAAATTTATATGTTTGAGGTAAATCATATACTAATTCTGCTAAAACTTGACAATTAAAACCAAATTGAAAACCTTTTTTAAGTACATAATCACGAGTTGAACTTTTATGAAGCGAATAAATTGTATTTTTTGCTATTTTAGATGCAATTTCTAAAAATTTGATATCAATGCCTCTATTGCATTTTGTACCAAATGGTGGATTCATTACTACTGTCTCAAAAAATTTTTCAAATTTACCTGAAAAAAAAATGTTTTTAATTTGTTAGAAAAGATAAATTTTTTCTATCTAAGAAAATATAATAATATGGATATCATTGAAAAAATAATTTAATAATGATGAATATAATTTAAATTTTTAAATTATTATATACTATTAATTTTGTACATTTGTAAAAGATAATTTTCGTATATTTAGTAACCACTATTAAAACTATTATTTTTATATATTAATAATATAAATTTTATGGGATTTCTAAGTTTATACCGAGTAAATTATTTATTTCTTGGAAACTCGAAAATAAAAATCATTGAATATAGAGGCAATTTATTTCCTAATAGATAATCAAACGAAAACGTCCGATCAGAAGTCAATAATCAATGATATTGAATTTGCATATGAATAATTCATAAAAGAATTTAGTATAATTTTATACACTAAATAACTTAAAATTAGATACACATAAATATAATGTAAATTTAAATATTTAAGATTTTTTAAAAGTTTGAAAAAAATTGATCTTTAAAAATATTTCTTTACATATTTTTTTCTTTATTTCTTAATTTAAATATCTGATTTTACAATTAAATGAAGATATATATAGATAATGAAAATAAAAATATATACATTAATATTTGGAAGAATATTATTATACAGATATAAAGTTAGCATTCTGAATCATAATCATTCACTATTTAATTTAAATTTTTTGAAAAAATATAATTAAGTGTCTGGCATCACTGTAAATATAAAATAAGAACTCAATGAGATACAAAGTATAATAGTTTGTTTTGATCTCACGAACTTTCCGATCATCTCCAATTAAATCTTTTTCTTGAATTTATTGCTTTCCAAAAATGTGTATAAGATTTATTTTCATTAATTAAACTTTCAAACGTTATATAACGTTCTAAAATATACGTATACAAAATAGTTACTAATGTAAAAACGAGTTTCTAAGAAAGTATATTTATAAAAGTACAAATTTTTACTTATATAATACCAAAAAAATAAAGTTTGTAATATAGAATACTTTAAAATATTTGAGAAAATTCATATACATTTAACAGGGACTGTTTTATTAATTATTATGTTACGATACTAATAAAGTTTTTGATATTTCACACAGACACGTATAGTAGAATAAGAAAGCACGAAAAAAACAGTGTAGCTAATCTAATAAAACATTTTATATGATGCTATGTCCGACATATACTATAGCAGATTAGTTGGCGATACTATTTTAAAATAAGAGTGTTGATCTCTTTTAACTTTCTGAATGTTATAAATTAACTGCTACTAAACAATTGCTATCCCGTAAAAAATTCAAATAGTACATTCATAATAATCGAAATTTAAAAACATTAGTCGCTAATAAGTAACAGCGATTCATATACAGATGTAGTGATTGTATGACAAGTTTCTCACAAATCTAAGTATACGCTATTTCCATCTTTAAGATATTTTCTAATTTTCCCTTATAATCATTCATTCCTAACTCGTGGATTTAGTACTATATTGAAAATACTTATAGAAATGAATACAAGTGTAAAGGATGCAATAAGTTTCGTAGACAACAATAATACATAAACCTGGAAGAGATGCATAGTGAAACAATAAACCTATTACTTATAATATTTTACATACCTGGTAAGATATAATTTATGTCACAACAAATAGTTTCTATAATTATCTCAGATATTTTACAATTTTCATTAAATTTTTTAAGAGCGCTCATATCAACATCAAATCCTATTACTTGCGATGCTCCTAAACTAATAGCACCAACAGATAAGATACCACATCCCGCACCTAAATCAGCCACCATACGATTTTCTATATCTCCAAATTGTGTATGTGCTACGTAGAGCATACGAGATGCAATGTGTGGGCTTGTAGCATATTGTTCCAATAAGAAATTTGGCTTTTCAAAAGTAGTTAGAATTTGTAATTTTTCTTCTAATTCTCTAATCTTAATCATTTTGTTACATTTTTAATTATTTTCCTTCAATATTAAAAACATTTATTTACTACCTTCAAAACGAGGAAGGACGGGTAAAATTAAATTTCCAAATGAAGAATCTTGTGTTACGAAATAACCTGCTGAAGCGGCATGTGCATTAAGAAGAGCTGCTCTTTGTAATGAATTAATAGTTATTCCATCGTTAGATACTAAAATCTGAGGCTGAAAATAATAATTTTTTTTAAATAGTAGAAACATATAATCTAAATAAAAAATAAAAAATATATGTCAAATATATTTTTAAATATATAAAAGGTTTCTATTGCTATAATAAAATTGTTACACTAAGTATACAATTGTTAGCACTAAGTTTGGAATTCGGTTTTTTATACATATTTGTTTGGTATTATCTTGCATTTATTATGGGTAGAACACTATTAGCCTTTACCTCTTTATTACTTGGCCCCTACTATTTGTCTACGTCCTTATACTTTGGCATTCCTTGTAAGGGAACCGTCTGTGCCTTGCCGACGTCTTCCTTAAAAGCATTCTCTTGACTATGGCGTGGTCATTTACGAATCGGCTCTTTCTTGGGGTCTCCAATCAAAATGCTTCTTATTTGCATCTACACCATGAGGAGGGCTTATTGAAGAAACCTTGCCCTTCTAACCACGCTACCTCGTAGCTAGATTCGACAACAATGTATTCGTTGTGTACCGTTAGATTGTAAAATTTGGGTGTAGCGACTCTTTGCAGATGTCAAACCACATGCGTTTTCCAGATGTCTGATTGACTTGTTTTCGCTAAATGATTTACGACTTGGGTTTTCCACAAGTCTTAATGACTTATTTTCGCTAGATGCTTAACGACTAGGAATTCCAGAAGTCTTAATGACTTGTTTTCCAATAACCTGGTGCTAGTGCACAGCAGTCATCTGAATCATCGCTCAATGGCTCTAGAAGCCTTGAGTTCAAAATTGCTTCAATGTGAGATAATAAGGTAGTTATCTCTTGAAAGGTAAGTAAGGTTTCTCCGATTGAGCATCTCAGGTGAAACTTTGTAGATTTCACCACCACTTCCCATTTTCCTCCCATGTGAGGAGCAGCGGGTGAGTTGAATTACCACTGAGAGCTGTCTCGCGAAAGCATTTTACAATTCGATGATGCTCATGAGAATCTTGTGTGAACAATTTCTTGATAATTTTATCCGCCCCAATGAAGGCTGCATCACAATCTGAGTACAACGTATGGGGGATACTTCTGCGTTCGGAGAATCGCCGATAGGCCGCAATGAATCCTTCGGTTGTATAGTCACTAACTACCTCTAGATGTATAGCAGATGTGGTAAAACACATAAAAACACAAATCCATGCCTTATAAGTTTTTGCTCCTCGTCCCTTCCAGGTTTGTATTGTTAATGTGTCGGCATAATCAACTTCGGTATGATTACGGTCGTGATTGCGTGACTCTGGAGACGGGCAATTGCCCCATCAATTTTTGAGCACGAATTCCTCTTTGTCGTACACATGTGATGCATTACAATGTGTTTCATGACAGGGACTCTACCTCCAAGAATTCAATATTGTTAGCATATGTATGCCAACGTGAGTCATGTACTTCCATGGTATGTGCGGAGGTGGGTATGGGCTATATGAGGATTACTAATTGGGAATGTTATGGCAGAATGCCGGGTGTTTATGATCTGCTGCTAATGATGCTTTCATTAGTCTTCCTCCAATTCTAATAATGCCCTATGAGTCTATGTATGATGTCAGGCGATGGAACGCATGACCAGTCGGCAGGCTTGCCTGAGACTGAAGGATTTTCAGTTCATTAGAAAAATAGGCAGCTTGAGTTCCCTTTATTCAAAAAATCCTTGATTTTTCCAAATCAGTAATCGGTATTTAATTGACTGGAGAAGCTTCATACTTTCTCCTCAGCCGTGCAATAAATCTTATGCATAGGGCTTTTGTACGTAATAACTTATTGAGGGTTGAGTAATTAAATAATGTCCCAGTGGTAATTCGGCTGGTATACGACTGCCGCTATCGCTAAATGAGAGGCATCAGAAAAGCCAAGTAATTCTACGGTTGATTCGCTCTCTATATTAAATCGTCGCGGTATTGCGATCTTGTTCAGCTCTGAAAGATTCCTTCTAATGGTGTACCAGCAAGCAGAGATTTAACTAGGAAGTAGATCATCCTATTTGAATTTATGTAACCATAGCTCTTGTAACATCATTTTCGCCTTAATCACTACTGGTGAGACAAAATCTAACGGACCAAAGATTTTTGCAATATCCGATAATATTATTCTTTTAATGAAACTGTCCGATTCAACTGAAACCCTTTTTGAGAAAGTGAATCTGTCCTGTTGATGACTCCACTGTAACCCGAGAATTTTTGTCTTGCAATCGTCAAATACTATTGCTAATTTCGTTTTCTGTCTGCCTTGATAGCGATGAGGACATCTCCATGAGTTGAGTGCCATTTTTCCAGTGAGAAACCGCCGGCCATGCAGAGGTTCTGCAGTTGTAATGCGGTTTCAGTTAGTTGTTACGGCGTGTTCGCACCTTCAAAATCTTCGTTGAAATATCTGCCATAAATTATGGATGACAGTACCAGTGGGTACTTTTCTCCCTCGTCTTCTACCAGTTGCAGTAATGTTCTGACTGCCAAAAATGGAGCGGTTCTCGTGCCATAAGTGACTGTTGTCAATTGATATATCTATCGATAGAATTCTTTGCAGGCGTTCTGTGCAGATGTTTAAAGACTTGGGAAAAATTCTTACAATTTCGAACAAATATATAAAATTATATTTACATTATAACTAATGTTACGCAACTAATTCATTTACTAGTAACTAATTAACAGTTGCTTTATCATCTATATAACAATACATGCATTTACTCCAGTGTATTTTATCTTATATTGTTGCGTATTATGGCATACATCATAATTAGAAAATCTTTATTGTATCTTAGGTAAATATAATCTGATGAATCTTGCTATTACACGACCGATTTCAGTAGTTCTAATATCTTAGTAGTTCTAATGGAATTAAAAATTTCCATTTTGTTAAAATATTTAAGTTTGCTAAATGAACTGACAATTATACTTATTAAAGAATCTTTAAAATTAAAATTGATATATTGAATTATTTTCAATAACTCAACATCTGCAGTGAATCTTGCTAATGTTGCTACTGTACTGTGAAATACTATTGTATTCGGAATTGGAGCATTTTCCAAGACCTTTTGCTCTCGGAAATTTGTAAACATTTAACTTCCGAAATTCTCGATCGTCCCGCAAGTTTGTCAAGTCTCCACATAGCAACACGTATCAATTGCTGCCAACTAACGAAGTTGCTACATGGATATTGAAAGCAAGCACACGTCGAAACACCCGCTATTCGGCCAGGGTCTATAGCATGAGGTAGTCACTCAGGAGTGATTCACTCAATCATGCTCTCTCAGTGAAGCCATTAGAGCGAACACGTTCAATTTTCCAGTGCGCAATAGTTAACAAGCAGTCAAGGGTGCTGATTGCATTACAAGAAAATATTCGACTATAAGAAGTATGGTATCGAAGTATTCCTTATCATGAAAATATGCCAGTTTTCTCTATTGAGGGTAACTATTACACAATTCAGCCATACTTTTTTCCAAGGAGTGTGCATAACTCTTTGCTAATCCTTACAAGATTAGTAAAGGCTTCAATATCATAAGCCATACTCCCTTTCAAGGAGTTTGCACAATCCATTGCTGATCATTACAACATTAGCAGCAACATCATCACCATCACCATGGAGCAACTACATCGTTATGATTGAACATAGTTCACACTCCCCTATGAGAAGTGACTTGAACTCATCAATAAAGTAATTGTGAATAAACTATAATAAACGATGTTTTAAAGAAGTCTGCACACACTGTACATCTCTACAGCTCTTCCACTTAAGTCCTTACCTAAGCATCCCTAAGGCGGGCGACAAATTAATTGAACTATCGAACATTGGCAGCTAGAGCCAGAAAATCAAACATTTTAAAACATATTGCATTGTATAAAATATATCCGATGATCCGACTCGTTGTACCAAGACCGGTTCGAAGGACCAAAATTATTTATGCAGACAATTCAGAGACCACGAGATGGTATGTGGTAGCGATGTGCGGGTAAGTGGAAGGGATAGTGTAATTAATTCCAGATACAGGAATGATTGTTACTACTCTTAGCAATTGTTAAACTCTTGGATCACGATTTGCTGTAACAAACGTACTTTAACAAGAGGAAATTGGATGTAGTATTTGCTTCTCTTAGCGTAGTACACTGATGCTATGCCCTGGGAAGTGATTAGTTGTAAAATCTTACCACTTCATCGAATAGAGCCGCGTGTTGTTTCTGCTATGAGCGCTGAATCGCGTGAAGATTGGTTTCGTGAGCGTAGAACTCGAACTAGGAAAGAGGTTTGGTCGGCAAGGTGGGCGGAAATGGCACAGTCTTGAAAACACGTGTTACATGCGTATGGGGTGTATGCGTACGCGCTTCTCCTTCAGTACAGACAGTAGAATTAATTAAGATTAATCTTGCGTGTAGCTGTGAGATAGCCTCTATCCTTTACGTATGTTCGATAACCTGGCTTCTTAGACTCCTGAATCTTAGATGATGTCTATAATGCCTAAAGTAGATGATACTACAAACGAAGACTAATCTTGGACTCAATTGAGGGACTTTACCACTTCTTTTTCAATGAGGACTTCAACTGGTACTTGTCTTCGGACTTTTATAAGGAAATTTTTCCACTTCCTATTTGAATAACGAACTTTACCGAGAGTAATTAAATATTCTGGTTATCTCTCTTAAATACATTCACTGACCATGGTTTTCACTTGGAATCAATTACTTTTTTCGTGTACAATCAGAGAGCTTCAGACTCATAGTATTATCCGTAAACTAATTTATTTGTTCAATATTACTAATTAAATAATTAAATATGTCTCATGATTGTTGTTGTTACGGATTGCAGCAATTTTACGCGGTAAACCAAGTGGGAGAGGTAAAGACACCTGAGCTTAGGTAGAAACATTTGCGCACCGAGTCATAAACACAATTCTACAAAATCGGGAAACTTCACTACTCAAAATAGTCGAAATTACATTACAATTCCGACTAACAAGGGCCGACGAACTCTCCAAGGCTAGATTCTAGTGACGTCACTCTAACAATCAGCATGACCAGAGTGATCCAGAATTCACCGGATCGCAAGCCTGTACTAGGATATTTAAGGAGACGCACTTGTCGCTCTCGCTCTCTTACTAGTTCAATCAAGCATTCATCAAGATCGGATCGCCGTCCTACAAATCGAACCCAGCTCAACGTAAGCCAAGCTAGTCTCGGCTACCCAACACTGCACAGATCGACTCCAGCCCAACGGAAGCCAAACTCACTAGGCCCACCAACGCTGCAGAGATCGACTACAGTCAACAGAAGCCAAGCTCACGGTCTACCAACGCTACTACACGGATCGACCTCAACACACGTAAGCCACGTTATTACACACGTTCTTACGTATCATCAATGCAACTGAGATCGACTCCATATACGTAAGCTACGCTATTACACACGTTCTTACGGATCATTAATACACGGCTCCCATCAACTAAGTAAGCAGCAATACTAATAAGTGGTATACGGTACTAGGAATACTCCCAGCCGTCAAGCAGTGACGTGACACGGATATCCTCCCTACACTAGACCTTCACAGCGTGCATCTCGCTAGCGGCAAAGGCGGCACCATCACTGCCCCTTATCAGCACGAATCTCGCCACGGCATCATCACTGCCCCGCATCAGTGACGTCACACAGGCGCTCCCACTCAGGCCACTACAGCTCTTTTCGGCAGCGGTAAATGCGGCACCATCACTGCCCCTTATCAGCGCGAATCTCCCACTACCACTGCGAGTTCATAACTACGAGTAGGAGAATCAAGCACCAATCTACCAAGAATACACTTACAGGATTCTTGTCGCTCATATTAATTGAAGAAACTCTCATCTATTCATTGTATCATATATTCAATTCTACATCTATAGACCACTAACTATTTATTATATTATTATATTCAATAAAAGGAAAAATACTACATTCAAAGGCAGTGTTGAATTATTGCATTGTCCCTTCCACTTGCCAGCAAGCCTCCACCCACCATCACATGGAGGCTTTTAGTCTGATCCCAGACAGTTGTCTTTAACATCATACGTGGTAATACATGGTTAAAACCCGTCGTTTGAAGAAAAATGAAGTAAATTATTAGTAATTAAAATTCTATCTCTATCTAGTACATCTCGAATATGTCTATGATATTAATAGAAACAATTTGATTTATAATATAATTCAATAGGATACCTAAACCTCTTAAATTAATATTTCATAACATTAATTTTAATAATCTTGATTATAATTTTCCTTAAGTTTGAGTTTTATATTTATTGTCCAAAAATTAATAGCAGTTTATATAATTATCAACACTTCTAAGCCACAAGTCAACAGTATAACATACTAGCTAGTTTTAATATATTTTATTATTAGAAAATCTTATATTCTTAAGGATATTATTATAACCTGTCAAGCAATGATCGCTGGAAATATCTTTATTGTTACCACAATTTTCAAAGTTTTTCCAAAAAATTTTATCTAGAATAAAAGAATCCGATTATTTAGTAAGCTAGTTTAATACAGATGTGTATTTTCAAAACAATATATTTATAAAGTATTCTTTTATTAGACAAGATACTAAATGTTTCACTAAACGAGTCATATACCTTTATTAGATACATTTGCTCATTTTTATTCAACATAAACAAAATATTACAAATCATTGTTCATAAAATAAAATTAAGTTGTAACATTTACCGAAATTTCATTTAGATAGCACCTATCTTGGACATAATGTAACTAACATGACAAAATTTTTACAATATATCCTGAATAATCCTGTCACAAACATTGTATAACGAATTTAACAATTAAAGAAGCTAGAATTACTTAGTATTTTATTTTATTGGTAGTATAAATATAGTAATCTGAATAATACATAGATATTATGAGTGCGTTGGATTTAATAGTTAAATCTTTAATGGCCACGTATTAAAAAAATTTAGAAATAAATATTTATTAAATCATGATAAACAAAATAAAACTATATCTATCTTTATCTTCATTGTTGCAAAAATAATATATATTTTAATCATCATTGTTTGTTTTAGTATATTCTTGGTTATGTTTATAGACCTCGCGATGATGTGAATAATGCGTGAAATGGTGAAATAGATAAAAATAAAATTGAAACGATTAAAAAAAAATTTTTTCATATAATTTAAATTCTGTAAAAATATTTAACATATAAATTATAAAAAAATTCAATTCCCACAAAACTGACAATATACATTAAAATTTCAATTGACTATTGGGAAAATAAATTATGCATTGAGGCAGCTTAATTCAAATTTAAAATTGAGAAAGTTACAAACGCTTGTTTGTAAACACGATTTAGCGATTCCAGGAATTTTCTTACACCGTAACGTCTAATATACGATAATATTTCTGCATAGCAACGTCGATGAAGCTTCTAGAATACTCCAGAGCTTCTCTGTCTGATGTCACAACGATTTTCGGCATAGCAACAGGCATCGGCACTGTTGTCGGCGTCGCAAGCTATGCCGCAAATATTTAAGAGCAGCGCGCCACGCACCGAACCACTGTTCCTTTAACATCCATTCAGTTGCCACACAGCTGGCTCACGGTGTTTTTACATTCAGTTATGGCTCATTGTTATTCTACACCCCATTCATTGATTTGTTATTATTAGTTAGTGCATTTCACACGTCAGTATTACTTGCTCCAGCACTCACTTCAATCTAAAAGGCATAGGTCCCACATTATAAGAACATATTGCAACCAGGGTACCAATCGAACAGTGAAGCCATTGGGATCGTAATTAATAAGGTGCGCCAAACACATTTCCAAACCGGCGGGCCAGTATGGTAGTTCATAAGGTACCTCCTCTCTATTAATTGTACAAATTTAGTCACTCTCGCTGGAATCAACCTGCATGCAACACTTACAAATCCATACAAACCGCATTTAAACGCCACACAGGGCTCAGACCGTAAAAACCACCTTCTACATGTACTTACATTATCGAGACTCAAATTCAGCTATTCAAGGTCGGTGACAAGTCCCTTCAACACTTGAAGGGACTAATTCTGATTCAATCTTCGTGCATGTGACTAACACTCAAAATATCCCACTCTCCGTTGGGGTACGGTCGAATTACGTAACAATTACTTCCTAAAAACCTTATCCGCCCTTGTTCGGCATTGAAGCAGTTAAAGTCGGAATTCAAAAGTGAGAGAGGTGTAAACACCTGGACATTTATGTATATACACAATTCAGAGAAGTCGGGAAATTTCCCTACGCTAAATACTCGAATATTAGACTCTAATCCGACTAGCAATGCTGATGAACTCTCAAGGCTAGATTCTAGTGACGTTACCGTACTGATCGGCATATCAACAGGCACCGGTGCGCTGCCGGCATCGCAAACTTCTACGTGAATATTTAAAAGCAGCCCTTGACGCGCTACGCACTTTACTTTTAACATCAAGTCAGTCACTACACATCTGGCTTTTAGTATCGTTTTCTACGATAAATTCAGTTTAGTGCTCAGTATAATTCTATATTTAGTATTATTATTGAGTAGTGCATCTCACATCAGTGTCACTTGCACCAGCCCGAACTGCAATTCAAATTTCAAACAATCAAGAGCTCAAGAAAGAAGTCACACCACTACAATAGAATAATTCTCAATCTAAATAGAAGTAACTAACAACGCTACAAGATTATAATTAATAAGCAGAATAAATTAATAATCGAAATCATGTATATTACATTATCGATTACTTTTCACCCCTTCCCTTGGTGCCTTCTTTCTTCCTAAATCACTATGGCGAGAGATCCACTGAACTATTGAATTGGCAGTTCGAGCCATAAATTAAAACGTTAAAATTCGAACAGCCTTTATAAAATCATATTTTGCATTCTCTACAAATTCTTATTTATTACTATTAGCACTACCATTACCATCTTCCCATGCTCAAAAAGAGCATGGTCGACTAATTCATGCTGATTCCTACAACATCAGCATAAAATCTACATTGAAGATGCACATAACCTCCATAGCATCAACAACAACTAAGAACACAAGAACTCGCACCACTACAATAGAATAATTCTCTATCTCAATAGAAACAACCAACAACGCTACAATATTATTATAATTCATAACCAGAAAAAAACAATAATTGAACTCAAAATACATTACATTATACTTTTCAGCCCTTCCACTTGTGCCTTCTTTCTTCCTAATCGATATGGTGAGAGATTAATCCACTGAACTATTGAATTAGCAGTTCGTACCATAAAATAAACATTAAATTTCGAACAATCACTTTTAAATTAAACATAACAATTTTTATTTTATTATGAATATAAATTTAGTAGATTACTAATTTTATTATCCCTCTTCATATATTAATTTATGAAAAGTTATTTTTATGAATATATTGACTGTGTAAATTCTTTAAATAAATATATCTTAGTCAGTAAAAAAGTAAAATTTAACTTATGACAAAAGAAATCTATAAATATTATAGCGTAATACAAGTTATTAGAACTATGACAGATTCACGTGCAGCAAAATTATGTAGATTGAAATGTATTCAAATGACAATACTTATAATGTTGATTTTATAATTAATTATAAATTGCAGTAGTTACGATGCACTTTTAGTATAATGATATATTCTAATGCTGTACCAATTAGAACTATAATTTTTTAGCAATAATTCAATATGTAATTAACAGAATAATGAACATTTATACTTACACAATGTCCTATTTACAAAAAACTGTATTTATTCGGTTTTAATAATAATTATATGCAATAAGAAAGTCGGAATTCAAACATTTATTTAAAGATTTAATATTTAATTTTTAATGGTTGAGAAAAAAAATTATTTCTTTTAAATTGTACAGTTTAAAAATTAATAAAATGTTATTAACTAAAGATATATTCTTTAATATTTAAGAGTAAAATTTGTAACATTTTTAAATAATTTCTATTAGTTGAAAAATTAAATTCTCCCTTACCAATGATGTTGATGTAGCAGTTGTAGCAACAGATATTGATGTGCCTAGTGTTTGAGCAACACCTTGTTTCAAAAGTAATTGTTTTTTTAATTGAAGTTCTTCTAAAATTTTTCTATTTTGTAACTCTGAAATAAATTTCAATATCTTTATACAGACTGTATCTATACAATAAATCGATTAAAATTATATTTTCATTAGAATTTTATGAATAATAAAAAACTATAAAAATATTATATTAATTATAAAAAATTATAAATTTATAGAAATTTTTTATTTATTTTAATGTTAAATAAAAATATACAATAATATATGATATTTAACAATTAAAATACCTGTAATTATAATTGAAATTACAATAGCAGTTAGCCAATTTTTTAATTGAAAATACTTTGGAAAATATCACAACGAAGACATTAAAAATATTATAATAAGGATGATGGTTTAAAATAAAGTTTTTTGTATTAATGTAATATGACAAATACAAAATATTTATCATCCAACATATAATACAAGTTGTACAACAAACCATAAAAATAATATGCGTCGTAGATAAAATTTTTAATATATTATTTAATTTGAGAATGTGAACTATATTTATAAACCATATATCATCACAAACTATGTTTTTCTCATTCTTAATAAAAAGAAATCATAAATTAACAGTTGACTCATCGTTCTTTCTTATTGGAATATTTATTAAGTTCTTTTCTGGTTTCTGTATTAATTTTTATCATTGCTGTTTAATTATTAAGTAAAAATATTCAATTTAATATTGTCCTTTTTTTGTATTAGTATGAATAAATATTTTTAAGTCAACAGTAAGACTTTTATTATACCCCATTTGTACGTGAGTATTCATATTTCTTCACCTCTAGCTATTTAGCATTAAAAGTATTATTTTACATTATTATTAAGTTTATATCTACAGACAAAAAGAATGCATGCATTTTACTCTACTACATAGAATTGCTCTGTATTTCTTTTGTTTCTAGCAATAGGATAATTAATAATTCACCGTTGAATGTCTATATTTCCCTGCATTCTTTTTCATTCTATAATGTCTAATACTTCTACTACATTATTTACAGCATTATTCTGGTACTAATAAATAATACACTCCTGTAGTTTACTCGCTCTTATTTCATCAAATATACCTCTGTAGTTTATTACCATCATATTTCCTCTTCTTTATATAATTTCAAAGAGCATTTATAAAGCTCATCAAAACGAATATACTACAAATAATTGATTTGTACAAATTTGATACAAATAATTACAATGAATTGCACTACGAATATTTTATATCAATTATCTGTCTAATACTGATATAAATTTATATAATTCTTAAATTTTTAAACGATATCAAACAGACTTTTTAAGCATTTGTAATAAATTATCTAATTTATGTTATCTTAAAACAATTTAATTTAATAAACAAATTTCCAATTTATCATAATGAAGAATAGATAAAAGTTATTTGATTCTCCAAGAAAATTTAAATTACTTGAATTCTTTTATTAATATTGTGATTGAAAAATATTCAAACCAAAATTTATTGTGAAAGATCTCTAATCATTCCATATTTACTATTGTATAATTTCAATGTAATTCTTTAAATTACCACCAATGATGTCTATCTGTAATATGTATTTGATTAAATTTCTGATAAAGAAATGACCATATGCTTTTCTACCGACGCAACCATCTTGCACATTTTACACATATTATTAACAGTGTTCTACCAACATTGTTGCAAGTTATACTCAAAAGTCGATCATTCTGTTCGTAATTTGAAACGGATAAAACTGAAATCTGATCTGGCTATTCGTCACTATTATCAATATTAACAGATCTATATTAATATCTATTTACGTGCTATGTCCGTATAGCAACAAAAGAAGATTCTCGAACATACTAAAGCTCAATTTCTGAGAAGTCTCCAGAGTTTCCAAGAATTACAACGCTAAATGTATGCAATTATATATAAGGAGCAACAGACCGCGAAGAAAAATAGTCTTGTCGAGTAAGTCAAGTGAAATTAGTGCCAGTCATACCAGTGAAAGTTATACACGTCTAAGGAAATCCGTGCAAGGTATACTCATTGTTTACATTATTTATGTGACGATAACGATAACGTGATGATAGTCAGATCGCATTGAGGGCGACGACATAGATTGGCATCTCCAGCAAATTATCGATATCACATATTATATCTTGCGGCTCAGTGCCAACGCTATCGGTCAAACCCCTGCAACTTGATTCTTATTAGACCACTGAAGAGGACGTCAATAATCCTTTAATAGCCGCGAGCCGAACAACGCTCCGTAAAATCATCGCCGAATTAATCGCCCAAGAATTCGCGAGCCCAACAAGGCTCTCCAGAAAACCATCGCCGAATCCATTGCCCAAGAATTCACGAGCCGATGCTCTTTCAAAATTAAGGACTAAAACGCGTGCCCAGTACTACCAACGCAGTCCTAGCTTTGCACTGCCAGACGACGTTCTATAGCTTATGGTCACTGTCTAATCACGATGAGCTCAACAATTCTCATTAAGATTGGTAACACCAACTACCACTATAACATAAACTTAAATAAACGTCACTAAATCAATTGTGTTTACACTGAATTGATGCATTAACCACCCCCACCCCCCATTAAACCGATGGTACAGTCTAATCCATCTACCTTGATCTGTGATCATACTGATGGCTGGAATTCTAAACACAGACAATTAATTTTGCATACTTGTAGATTTTTCATTATATTTCAGTTCTTTGATAGTCTTTAGTCTAGCTAAAACTTTCAGTTTTTCAATATTCTCTATTTGAACCAGAACTTTCAGTTCCTTAATAATCTCTATTCTAATTATACCTTTGCTATATAGTATTAATATTCTCTGTAATATGTTATTTATTTTTAAAAAATCGATTCAACCAATAATAATAATTATTCAATAACTATTACTTAAAATTAATAAACTCTTCTAGTTACGTTTCAAAATTTAACTTCAATTTTCAAATTTGAATTTTTTGCTAGGATTTAAGGTATTCTCTTTAAAGAAATTAAAATATAATTGAAATAAAAACACCAACTTTCATATCAATTCCATTAATATGTAACTAAATAATCATTCTCTAAGAAATTACTCATTCATTATCCTAAAAAGAATTTAACAATCCATCATGTATATATTTAGAATTATTTGTTTGATTGCTAAACCTAGAAAACTAATAATACTGTTACCATAAATCCGGTAAACCCTGTGTGTTACACTACTGTAGTAAAATATCTTCTTTTGCTATTTCACCAATAATACGGTCATAGTAATGATTCGCAATCTGTTAATGAAATACATTCCGTTGAACATTACAGATTACTCATATAATTGTTTTAAATTATGTGCCTCAACTACATACATGTCCGAAATTGTCGAACAAGCCTTGTAGTTATCTTCAAGTTCTATTGATTGAATGAGATACAAATCAATGATATTCGGTTAAATACTAATAATTTTACATTCATTAGATAATATCTAACAAAGTCTTCAAGACCACCTTCAAGATCATTGTCAATATTATCAGAATTTCAATACTTTATAAACAACCCAATTCTCTGGCAAATTAAGCACAAGTTTTTAATCAATTAATATATAATTAATATGTTCCTCTGCAAAATCAATTTAAATTTAAATATTAAAAGGTAAATAGCGTTAATATATTATCATTTATCTGAAATAGATGTTATATTTATTTAATGTAACACCTTTTACATATCCCATTTATTTACGTTTTCATTTATATTCAAATTTTTTTAGGTAAATCTACACAGATCTTCTACGTAATATTGTTCCGCAGAAGCAATGTTAGTAACTTGAACAGCGATCTGAAATGCCTAATTTTATAGATTACATTAGACTTAAACCAGTAAAAATTATAACTATTTCAACAGTATAAGATATACTTCTTTATCAGATTATAATACTTAGACAATAATGAAGACATAATAACCAACCAAAGTATTAAAATAAAAAAAATACTACGTATTTATATTAATTACGTAGGATAAAATATTTTTTCAAAACTCTTTTTTAAATATTTTTATTTGATCTTTACTATAAAATACGTACACTTTCGACAAGTTTTAGTAACTTTATTTTTGGTTTACCATATAATATAAATAAATAAATCAAGCATTCTTTTTTAACTAATAAAAAGTTGCCTTACTTTTATAAAATTTTTTATTTTTTTATATTGTATTTATTTTGGTAAGAATATCATTTAACCATTAGTTAAATTATAAAATTAAATTAACTAATTGAGAAAAACCATATAACTTAAAAAATTATTTTTAAAATGTATAATATCCAACAAAAAACTTTTGAATTTCAAGTTTTTTAATTAATATTTTAACATGACAAAATATTTAAAAAAATATATTAAATGTATTAGATTTTAGTAACAAGAAATAATGTACTATAATTTTACGATAGATAAGTGTCATTAAGCAAATAAGTATTAGATACATACTCTTAAATTGAGATATTGTGTTGATATTCATAAATTGAGATAATGTTTTTTCCATTTACAATGCTTAACGTAATGATGCTTGATTTTGTTTCATACTTTTATCATTCACATTTCATTTTCACATCTTATCTAATATAGTGAAAAATATTTATAATATATTTTTGTATACCTTTAAAACTTTATCTAATAAAAATTATTTTAAATTATGTTTTCAATTTAATAAAATGGTTATATTACTTACCTCTTGAGTTTTGCTGAGAAAATGCCATCAATTATAAATTAGATTTTATAAAATTATTTCAATGACTTTTCCTTTACTTAAATTATGAAAATTCAGATCTTTACTTTTTAATTCCACTTCCTTTTTTACTGACCATATAGTTTAAAAATTATAACCTATGTCAATATAAAAATATATTTTTAAACAACTTAAGAAATATAATACATACAGCAAATCAAAATCGAGTAATTTAACTAAATCATTATATCGTAAATGTTATACCTTTCTAGCATTACAAGTATAGTGATTTGTCCATGTTCGAAAGCTTGTGTATTTGATCCGGTTTGAAGGATCAAATGTATTTAATTTTCTGGCTCAAACTGCCAAGTTCAATAGTTCAGTTTATTTATCAATACTTAGGAATGGACATAAGTGGAATGGCTTTAAATATGTACAGTGTGTGTAAACATCGTTAGAACACATTTTAAGGAATAGAAATAGTACAAACATTATACAAATAAAATAAAAAAGTATAATTAAAAGCTATTTCAATATAAACAAATTACAAAAAATTAAAGGTTAAAGCAATAATCTTACATCAAATTTTCAAAGCCTTTCACTTATTAGACATCTATATATATTGTCCCAATAAAGAATAAAATAAGTACTCACTTTAAATTGTACAAATTGTAATTGTAATATATTTATCAAATGATTAATATTTTCTATATTAATAATTAGCATTATTATTTGATGGTTAATAAACTATTCTTTTTAATTCAAATAAATAACTATTTGTATTAGCATACAATTTATACTAAGATATACATCTCATCTATTTCTAGCTAGAGCGATTATATTAAAAAAAGAGCATGTATCTTAAAAATATTTCTATTTTTAATCATATTAATAATGGATATTTATGCCAAGATATACTAAAAGTAGGTCTATCAATACTGTAAACCATGAATTTTCAAAATCCCTTAACATATATAATTTATATCTGCAATATCCTATATAATTAAAAAAAAAGTCATTATAAAGTCTATAGATATATTGTTTTCAAATTTTGAGTAAATTCGAAATTGTACTATAAAACAATTGTTGAAAACTTTATTACATATGTATTATATTACTTCTATTGTTTTCATTAGCTTTGCTTAATCTGCTTTATTATTTTCTACTTTCTTAAGTACTTAGTAGTTGATACACTTCCAGTATTTATTTTATTTTTTCTTTAACCACTGTTTCTATATAACCATTTTTAATATTTATTAGATTTACTTACTTTTTGTTATATTTTTTTTTATATTACTTCTTTTTTTTCTCAATTATTTTTATAGTATTTTTTAAAGCAGTTACAAGCTAATATTTTTCTTTACAGGCATTTTAAAAATGTGAACACATTTTAAATTTTTTTCTCTCTTCTGAACATTTCTCTATTTGCCTTTTTCATTTCTTTTCCTAGATTTGTTATATATATATATATATATATATATATATATAAACAGATAATGCACTCATATTACTATTCTTTATAAAGTTCTCTACATAATTTTTATAATTATTCTATTAAAATATACTTTCAAATTTACAAAATAATCAAATGCCTTATTTCTTTTGCTATTAAGTGTCTTGTATGCATTATTATCAATTTCATACATTGCATCTATTACACATCTTTATTAAATTATAACATAAGTTTTTTTCATTTTTTTGTACTTCATTCATTAATTTTTTGTTTCACATTCCTATATATACTTTGTATATAATATTTAGTATGCTTAGTATGTAGATTATGTATATTTATTTTTTTTTTAATATTCTGAAATATATTATTTTAATTTCTTTATTTCTTTATTTGTCATAACCTTTTTCCACCATATAAACTTTTTTGTTTTCATATTTTCACTTACATTCTTTAAAATAAACTTTCATATTTCATTCTTCAAAAAATTGATCCTAATGATTTTTTATTAACCTTTATTTCAATTATTTAAAAAATTTTTTTCCAATTTTCTACACAAATCTCTTGTACTATATACTATCCTTCATTCTTGTGCTTATTGATATTCCTCTTTTATTTAAATTTGGTCATTTTTTATACTTCTATTTCCCTGCTGTATCGATTAAATTTACTAATTTTTGTATTTCTCTTTTTTTACACTCTGTACCCATTCTCTATTTCCATTTTATAAATTTTTATTCACAAAGATTAATATTTTTAAATGTTTTAATTTGACTTAAATCTGTGTAATAATTATAGTCTATTAGGAATTAAAAAATGAAATTATTACTTACATAAAGAAATTTGTTTTTGTTCTTTTATATCTATTAAACATTGAATATAATTTCTTCTTTAATTCTTTTATTCGATTCTTTTATAGCTTATGTTATTTTTATTTTCTTTTTTCTCTTATAATGATTATATCAAATTATTTTAATGTTTCATATTTTCATTAATTAAAATTTGTTTACTGCACTATTATTTAAATTTTTAAATTTAAATTCAGCCTTTGCGTTTCTTTTTTTCTGTTATTTTTTGTTTTACTTATATATTTATTTGTATTTTGGAATATTTTAATTATTTTTCCTTTTTTTAATTTTTTGTTTGAAAACTTCTTATAATTTTATTATAATTAATTTTTTTTTTATTAATTTTTTTTTTTTACTTTGTTTTTGTTTGTTTTAAACTTTGTTTCTTTGAAAATAATTATATAATTATTTTATTAATATCATTAATTATTTGGTAATATTTAAAATATTTATTCAACAAAACAATTAACATTAACACTACTACATTTTTAACAATAAAAAATATAAAATCATAATTTTATAATCATTCTATTAATATGTATATAAATATAACCAAGTATTCTTGCAATACATATATATATATATATATATATATATATATATATATATATATGAATAAACAAAAATAATAAGCTGAGAACACATTTAATTTTGATATACCTTCTTATGACATGTGTAAATAAAACTAAGAATATTTTTAGTTTATTTCCTAAAAATAAGTTGTAATAATTCACAAATATAAATATAAAGTATAATTAACTATATAAAAATAGGAAATTCAAGAATGTAAACAAGGTTAGTTTATTACTTTGTCAAGAAAGTAACAGTTAATATTATCTTGATAAATAAATATTTTATTATAGTAAAACACAAAGATACTTATATTATAGTAGCTGCTAATTTCAATTAAACAGGTCTAAACTCACTTATACTTAACAAAAATACTCACTCACTATATACGCGTATAATATATATTCTTACAATCTGATTAGAATAAACTGAATTATATTTTCAAGTATCTTTATTTTTGAGCTGATGCGATAAATTATTGACAATTATGTGTAAAAACAGTCCATGTTATGATGCACGTCCCATAAATTTCTGAGTGAAATAATAGAACGTCACAATAATAACAATAATAGGATAGAATTTAAAAAATCATACTGTAAAGCTTCAGAATTAACTTAATCTAGTTGGATTTTTAAATCCAGTACATGTGAATTTATCTAATTAGTAATATGCATATATAATTTTTAAAAATTATGAAGCATAAAGATAATAATTATTAATTGCAACAAATTTTTGCTAGTTCAAAATACAAAACAATAGTTTTTAAAAATATAATAAAATACACCTTCTCAAATTTGATGCTATAGAATTGCTGATATTCTGAGATGATTGACTTAGATTGGAAAATTATACTATAATATAAATTAGCCATGATTATCTAATTAAAGAATTAACAAATAAATAAATAATTATTTCTAATGAAAATTAGGAAATTTATATATAGGATTACAAATATTATAGTTACAAATATTATATTCACATATTTAATAATAGTAAGATAACTTATGATTCTTGGTTTTGTTAATGAGCTTTGTTTTATAAAAATAAGTACTAAAATATATTCAAATAATTGCAAACATTTTTATTTAGTTCCAAATTAAAAAATTAAAAATTGCTGTATTCAAAATCTTTATTGTCGTTGAATAACATTAAAGCCAATTTTATAAAATTAGCTAATGAACAACATTGATTATTTTGTGTTTAATATAAATAATTTGATTTTCAGCACAAACTTTATGAATATTTTATATATTTTGCAACTGAATAAATAAAATTATAATTGTAATTTCTGTTTATATTTTTATTTCTTTTTTAAATGATATATTTTTTCTATTTTAATATAGATTATCTCCATATTTAAATAACTATGACCTAGTCTTTTAAATTGATTAAATGTTTCGTTAACAATGTAAAATTATTATAATATATTTTATATTTAAAAATTTAATTAACCTACTAACTTAATTTTTTTCTAATTTAGAGAATCGAAATTATTAAATGTTTACTTTTTTAATTCATTTATTCAGTTTATTCCTTGATTTGCTCTTGATTTGCACTCACATAACCATGTATCGATCAGCTCATATGATCTCGCCTTCATTTAAAATTTATTTACAGTGTAATACAATTTGAACTAGCACCCGTTATTTTCATGTTAAATACACGTTATATCATTAAAAAGCTGTAACACTATACATTTACATTGTTTAATTACAATTCAATACAACTCGTTTAAACGATGGATGAATTGACGCAAGGATTTAATGGAATACTAATATATTACGGTGCATATCATCTTACATAGCAAATATGAATGCATGAAATATGTACATCTCCAATAATATAATAAAAATATTCTAATTATAGACAAAATAATAAATTTAATAAAGAAACACTAATATTTGAAAACAATCTTTAAAAAGCTGAGTCTTACTGTTAACATTTGTTAAGCTAATTGCTAATATGTTGCTAATATAAATTTTATTATAAATATAGAAACTTATTGTAAATTTTTGAGGTTTTTCTATTTTTACATTACTTCTTCATTCCTAATTTTGTAGAATTTTATTAGAACTTTTAATAAAATTTTTGTTAAATTCTTTAAAGTTTGTGTCTAAATTTACTCTAAATACTTAACATTATTTAAAAATGGATTAATTTTATATTTTGTTAAAATCAAATAAATCAATTTACAACGTTCATGGATAGAAAGATGCATTAAAATAAGTTTTCGAATTTCTATCAAATTTGGCTCGAAAAAAATATTCAAAAATTTATTTTCTGTAACTATATATTTGAATTGATATACTTTGTAAAAAGAATTCCTATAGTAAAAATTTTCATATTGTTTAATGCGCAAGCGTGTCACGCCATTGACTTTAGAAAACCATCAGTTACTCTAAAATTGACATACATTATTACGGATTTCAGTTCATTTCATAGATATTTTGATCAATGGACATGCAAATACGTGTGGTATATTTGTAATCATATTAATATCATAATCATAATGTAATTTTATACGGATTTTTTCACAAGAAATGTTATTGATAGATTTATGAATTTTTTTTAAAATAATTTATATTTCTGGATTTTTTATTAATTTTTACAGAAACAAAATATGACAAGTATAAGGTGGGCATTCAATACATCAAGGTGGGAGCCTTCAGAATCGGAATTTTTATTAGCGTCATCATGTTTACAAATTGAAGAAAAAAATCGAATTGACAAACTTGTTTTTAAAAAAGATGTTAAAGCATCATTAATTGGAAGACTAATGATTAGAAAATTTATTAGTGATACCACTGGAATGCCATATAACTCTATAGAATTGTTTAGAGATACTAATAACAAACCAAAATATGTTACCAATTCTAAAACTCCAATTGTCAGTTTTAATATTTCTCATCATGGTTCTTATACTGTTCTTGCTGGAGAAATTAAACAAACAAATATTGGTGTTGATGTTATGAAACTTGAATATAATGGAGGCAAAAGTGTAAATGAATTTTTCAGAATTATGAATAAACATTTTTCAGAATTAGAATGGAATAAAATTAGAGGTACATTACAAACATCTGAACAAAATAAAATTGTAAATTTCTGCAGAAATTGGGCTTTAAAGGAAAGTTATGTTAAAGCAATTGGAACAGGATTAACAGTAAATTTAAGTAAAATAATTTTTGATATCCATTCCAAATTGGAACAAGACCAGATAATAACAAATACTATGTTATGTATTAATAATAAAATACAGCCATGGACCTTTGAAGAATCATTATTAGATTCATTTCATTGTGTTGTAGTTGCTTTAGAACAACAAAATTATGTTCCTCAATCATCGAATAATTTTATTTTTAAAAAATTAAATCTTAATCAAATCCTACAAAATGCAATTCCCTTGTTACCGCAAGATTTTGAGTATTGTAAAAGATATTTCTTAAAAAATTCAAATTAGTATATTAGATTGTTGTATGTATAAAAAAATGTTCATCTGAATTATTTGCATATAATTATAAATAATTTCTTATTATATTATTGTAAACTGTAAATATTATAATATATTTAAACTAGAATAATGAATGTTGGCAAAAATATCAAATCATTTTAAGTTAATTATTACATTACTGAAAAATAAAAAAATATTTGATTGAATAATTGAAAAATCAATTATATACTTTATATATTTTGTTTCTTTAAGTCTAAATTGGATGATGTATTTTTATATTATATTGATATGTGTATTTAATATAATATTCATATGATGTGTATATATTAAGATACTAAATAATTTATTTTTCATTTATTACAATATACAAAAAACTATTTTTATAACATAAATGTATGTTATTTTTTTGTAAGAATAAAAAAAAATTAAAACCAATGCTTTATTACATAAAAATAAGACATATCTTAATCTTCAATATATTTTCCAAATTTCCATTAATTAATTTAGTTAATGTACTTTGTTAAAGGTATTTAGAATGTAATTCGTTGTGAAAGTAAGAAGATATTTTTTTTTAAATGCAAAGTACCCTTCATTCTCTATTTCTGTATTCATAAATGTATGTTACGAAAAATCACATGTATTGAAGTCATGTTACAATTTAATTGTCCAATATGCATATAAAATTAATGTGATGTTTCTATTATTTTCATTTCAACAACTGATTTGTAACATAATCTATTACATCTTACACAGCGTAATATCAGCGTTCTGATACAGAATCTCTAACACATTGAATAATATGATTGATAATAATGATGAATAATAATATATGAAAAATTTACAAATATTTTTATTATACTATTTTAATATAATTAAATCAATTAATTAGTGAAAATAACATAGTATAAAAAACAATGGTTTATAGGTTTCGATAAATATCAACGTTATATTATTAATCTAGCAATTGTTAAATAACAAAAGAATTATGATATTGCATACTAGGTATAAAGCTTCTTGATACAAACATTCTAGCATACGAAATATTGTACAAAAATGTTTAAACGTAAATCTCTTTAGTTACAAAATATTTATTTAACTATATATCCTAAATTATTTCCAACACCATTCTAATTTAAAAATCTCAAAAACTAGTTGAATAATATTCTTAAATCAACCATCATAGATTTATATATATATATATATTATATATATATATATATATTGTAGATATCTAACTTTACATTAATTAGAAATTTTGTAAAAATAAAATTTTAACGTAATTCTTATAAAAGTTGTAGCTATTTTTTGTTTATTAAACTACAATCAACTTTGAAAATATATTCAAATTAATCAAAAATAAATCTAGGTTTTTGTATTTATTAATATTCTATAGTAACTAAACATATGAAAAATCTCGAGTAAATTTTTTTATTTCATATTGAATACTTTTCAACTTGAGCGTGTTTTTATTAACGTAGTAAATTAATTTTATTAAATTACTGTTATAAACTAATTTTCACTATATTATTAATTATTAGATCTTCACCAATTAGTTTTATCGTTTGTATTACTTCAAATTAATTACATAATATTATTTTAATTTGTTTAAAGTACCAATTATGGCAGACAAAATAAAGAGACCTGATGTTCCCATGATTTTATAACTATGAAATCATTTAAATTTTCCTGATATTATTCCATATTTGGTTTTATAAATTTTTACTATATTTTTTAATAATCCATCCAATAAATATTTTCACTTTACTTGAATATTTCATAAATCTATGATTATTTTGAATATATAATTATATTTTAAATTGATAAACAATTATCTTTCTTTATCATAATGCTAAATGATACTATTATTAAAGATTAATTTAGGTTGATGAATTTAGGTGTTTTAAATATAGAAGAATTTAGACAGACTATCAAATAACAGTTTATTTGTTAGATTGTTTAAGATAACGTAATATAATCTTGTAATAACAAATTCATTTTAATTATAGGACACCGAAGACCTCATACAATACATTTAATTTGAGATCAATAAAGATTCCAATTGTCTAAGTAGCTATTTACAACATTGAATGTTGTTTTTCTAAGAGTAAATGTGAGTAATTAAAATGTATATTTAAGTATAAAATTGCATAATCTATGTTGAAAGAAATTTGTAATGGACTAAAGCAATTAATTAATTTTTTATAAAAGTATAGGATTTATACTTTATAAATATTTATGAATATATGAATTTGCATTATTATAAGTTCAGTACCTGTGAATACGATATCTATATAGTCAGTTACTAACAAAGCAGAAAGCAACGAACGAATGAATAAAAAGAAATAAATAAAGTAAATGTATGAACAAAATGTTAAGAGTATTGATGATATAAAATGCAATCAAGGTATTGATTTTTTCATCCCTTTTATAAGTAGTATCTTTGACATCCTTTAATCGCGCCAAACCATATATACATTGATGAAGTGATATATTTTTTTGACTAATAATTACAATTCTACTGTTATTGAAGAATTTGTTCAAAGAGAGACCGCTTTAAACTTAACAAAACTAATTAAGTTGAGGATTTTTAAAATATTTCTGATCTTAAATGTGTAATATAAATTATGTACTTATAGATAGAAGTTTTTGAGCATTCTTTATTTCAAGGGTCGTCTCAATATAATAAAATGAATGAGAAAAAAATTGCTAATTTGAGATATATTTAACATTATATTATTTACAGTGTTCGATTTTTAAGCTCTGAAGAACTTGATGCAAATGTATTTATAGTCGATTATTTTATAAACCGTTGTCTGGCCTTGACAATGTAATTGAGCGTGTTGCGTCTCTTGTCTAATGTCGTGGAGGAACCTACATTCTCCAGCGTGTTCGCCTGCGAGAGCGTATTGCGTCACCTGTGACGATTGTATGGAGGTGAATGTACGTTCTCAGAATTGTTAGTCAGAGAGCTTACTCTATCACCTTTATCGACTCTTTGAATATAAGTTATATGAAACTTAATTTGTGCGTAAGTGAGTAGCTTATTTAAAATATTATAAAGAGATGTTCCTTGTAAACTACCGACAAGGTATGTTGATTTTGCTGCGTGGCTGGCGTGCCCCTTTTGATTACGATTCCAACTGGCTTCACTGTTAAATCACTACCTTATCTTACTGATTCCTTTTAATAATGTACGTGTATCTTAGGTTGGTTGCCGAAAATGCGGCCACGTGTCGTCGTCACAGTATATACTAAAACACCAAGTGGTAGTAACAGTTGTTTAAACGAGAGTTAGAATTACAATGAGCTTATAAGCCTTTTGAATACGCGCACGAAAACCGTAGGCTTGATCGTTCCATGGCGGCTTTGCTGAGGGCAAACCGAAACCCGTGCCATGGCTTCTACTGGTAGAGGGTTAGATCGGTTCAATGTGGTCGGGTCACGGCAAGAGGTTTGTAGGAAGCGCAGTTCAGTAAGATGGAGCTTCAGCAAGAAGTGTTTAGCAAAAGAGCGAGGCACGTCGCGTGCTTGCCTAATATATCCACACGGCGGCTCACTTAGTTGGCAACAACTGGAATATTACATGAGGCGCAGAAAGAAAAGTCTAGATGTTTCGAGAATTCGACGAAAGAAAAAATAAGGCGTAATAACGTTTGAGAATTTCGGGCAATGTTATTACCTGAAGACCATTTAACATTGCGGGCCATTTGAAACCAAAACATAACAAGTATACGAAAATTCTCGTCCAGGATGTTTACAGAAATCTGAGATCTAAAGGTCCGGCGATCTCTATTGATTTTTGTAAATATTTTTTTATAATTTTTATGTTGTTACTTTATATCTTTAACCTCTATTCTTTCTTTTTTTTAAATTTTAGAATCCATCATATATATTATTATTAATAATTTTAAGTTATTATTATTAATGAATATTCTTTTAATAAATAAAAATCAGTTTTATATTAAAATATATAAATATTTCCTACTTACAATATACTATTATTAAGAACATTTTAATGTAAATTAAAAATCATTAAAAATGTATTGTGTAAAATATACTAAATAACTCTTTAAGTACTTTTCTATTAGATTGAATACGTGCCAAACAAAATAAAATTAAAATTTTATGGAAAAGTTTGCAATAAATTTTAGTTACATTTACTTTAATAAATTTACTTAATTTATTAAATTAATTTGCAAATTTGTATGACAACTAAATTTATATAATGATAAACTGATTACAGTGGCCACCGATGCACTTTCGACGCAGCTTGTTTATACGAGAATATTTAAGGAGCTGCACATGACGCTCTCGTCCTCTGACTAGTTCAATCAAGCAATCATCAAGATTAAATTATTGTTCTACAAGTCAACGCCATTTACACAGAGATCGCCTTCAATTCACACAAATCGCCATCCTACAAGTGAAACACCACTTACATAGAGGTCACCTCCAATACACAACGATCTATCCACACACGTAAGCTACGCTATTACACACGTCCTTACGTACCATCAATACAACTGAGATCGACTCCACACACGTAAACTACGCTATTACACACGTTCTTACGAATCACTAACACACGTCTCCGTGAACTAAGTAAGCAGCAATACCCAAACCACGGCATCATTGCCATTCATCTGTGACGTCACACACCAACGCCACTACCCAGGCCTCTCCAGCGCATCGGTAGCGGCAATCGGTGGCGTCAATCACGCGCCACACTCAAGAATACACTTATAAGATTATCATCAGTCACATCACCTGAAGAAACTCTCACCCATTCATTGTATCATTCATTCTATCCCACCTTAATAGACTACTGATTATTTATTATATCATTATATTCAATAAAGGGAAAACCAACTCATACAAAGGCAGAATTATTGCATTGTCCATTCCACTTGCCAGCAAGCCTCCCTTCACCATCTCAGGGAAGCGTTGTAGTTTGATCTCAGACAGTTACTAAATATATCTTGTGTAATATAATAACTATGTTAATTGTTAAAATAATTAAAATTTTTATAAAATAAAATAATTTATCCTTATTTTACTAGTATGGGAAATTCATATAATTAAACATAGTGAATTTTATATTTTACATGTTTTCTTTAATTATAAATAGACACTTTTTTCATTAACATGTAGTTCTAGATTTAGTACAAAGTATCAATTTATATTTTTAATAATTGTTTGATATCTTCTATAATGTAAACCCAATTTAAAATATTTGAGGTAAAGTATTTGATTGATTTATTCAAATTTTTATAAGGGATTAAAGATTTTTACCAATATATTAATAATAAATATAACTATTCATTATATAATAAATTGGTAAATTATTTTTAAAAGAACAAATTTGTTTTTATATATCTTTTTACATAATACTCTCAAATTAAAAATTCCTTTTCTATAAATCTAGGTAATTCAAAACATGCACGATGAATCTTATCGCTGTAATACAGTAGGCCCATTTTATTAAGTTCATCATCTGTAAATAATGTTACAGGTTCTTGGAAGTTAGTTTCCTGAAATTAAATAATTTAGTAAATATATTGTTAAAACTCTCAAACTCTTTTGTTAAATAATTTCTAATTTTTATACTAATAATATTGAATCGTATATTTATACTTAATTTTTGTAAAATACTTCAAACTCATTTATTTTTAACATATTAATAACATTTAGAAATATATTTTTTAACATTGTAAATGTTTTAGGTACTTCTTAATTTTCTGATCAAAATTTAAATTCAAAGTAAAATTTTATTAAGACAGCATTATTGTTTTATAATTTATACTATGTATGAAAAATCTATGTATAAACTAAATAATAACTTGTTATTATGGCATTTTCAATGTAGAATTTAGCTACAGTTATTATTATCTATATATTAAGAAGTTCAACATCAGATTTATTAATAAAGAACAGTAATGAATAGAATATTGAAGAACGAACAATAAAATATCTAATAATATATTAATAAAACAAATGAATTTCATTAACGTTTTAACAAAATATAATATATATGATTATAAATATGATACTGAAGAGAATTTTCTTTCAAAATAAAAAGTGTGTAAAAATACAATAATTTCTAATGAAGAATTAAAATAAATTCATATTGTGGTTATCATTAAATACATATGTAAAAGACCAATCTCTTAAATAAGTACATAAAAAAATTGAATATTTAAGAAAATCAATACATACAAATAAAAACATAATCACTATCCATATCAGTTAATGGCAAATAAAAAAATATATGAAAAAGCCTTCACAGCCTTATGAATTATGTAAATTTTTTATATTTCTATGAATAGCATGACTTAGTATTGCAATGTATTACATAAATTTATATTTGTTAAAATTTTATCTACATATTTTTACTATATAATATTATAACTATAAATAAAATATTATTACTTGTTCATTATTTATTGACAGGCGAATTAAATTTATATTAAGAAATTATTCAAAACTGGTTGATATAAATTACAAAATTCATTTAAAATTGTTATACAATATAAAAAAGTTTAAAATGGCTCATTTAATTTTTCCATAAATTTATAATTATTTTATCACAAAAAATTAAAATTTAGTTAATAGAAAATTAGAAAAATTCTTTATTATTATGTATATTATTAATACTCATTAATTTCAAAATTTCATAAAAAATGAATATATGATTTTATACCATTGCTAGTTTTAAATATGAACATAAAAATTTATATATGTATAGAAACAGAATTTTTAAACTTATTTTATATATTTATTAAACAACATGAAAATTCAAAAATAATTTGATATTAATACAATGATTACATTTGTACGGATACACCAAAATATAAATGTGGGTAAAGATAATAGTTTATTTATTAGATTAGAAAAATAATAATTATGAATATCCTGATATGTGAGACACAAAAATAATAGTAATATTCTGTATCTTAAATATCCTACAAGGCCAATGAACTTTTTCCAATTTCTACATCTCAGTTAATTAAAGTTTATAGATGTTCGGGATTGAAGCAGTCCCATGAATTTCAAACAAAAGAAAGGTCATTTACGCAGTCCGGCGTACCGCATGTGCGCCTAGACTGACCGCGCGTGCAGCAAGGCTGGCCACCACGTGCGCCTAGGCTGATCCGCACGTGCGGACCGAGGCGGGCACTCGAGAAAATGTTTACAAACAAAACTCGGCAAGTCCGAGTAAGTTTACGATTTGAAATATTATTTACTCCCAGCACTCACAAAAAAGGGACGCCTTCGAAACTTCTAGAAGCTTCGTTTTCTCACGCCAAAGGAAAATTTCTGGAAGGGACGCGCATCGACACTGTTGCCGGCGCTGAAGACGCCGCATGCACATTTAAGCGCAACGCGCCATGAGGCGACGCTCATTCGTA